GCAATCGAAGCAAAGATGAATGCGGCCGAGTACAGAGAGATCCTGGAAGAAAACCTCTTCCAGAGGGCTCAGGACCTCAGACTGGGCCGAAGGTGCACCTTCCAACAAGACAATGACCCTAAGCACACAGCTAAAATAACGAAGGAGTGGCTTCGGAACAACTCTGTAATTCTTGAATGGCCCAGCCAGAGCCCTGACCTAAACCCAATTGAGCATCTCTGGAGAGACCTGAAAATGCCTGTCCACCAACATTCACCATCCAACCTGACGGAACTGGAGAGGATCCCCAAATCCAGGCGTGAAAAACTTGTTGCATCATTCCCAAGAAGACTCATGGCTGTACTAGCTCAAAAGGGTGCTTCTACTCAATACTGAGCAAAGGGTCTGAATACTTATGACCATGTGATATTTCAGTTTTTCTTTTTTTAAAAATTTGCAAAACTTAAAACATTTCTGTTTTTTTTTTTTGTCAAGATGGGGTGCTGAGTGTACATTAATGAGGAATAAAATGAACATTTTTGATTTTAGCAAATGGCTGCAATGAAACAAAGAGTGACAAATTTAAAGGGGTCTGAATACTTAACATACCCACTGTATACATATATATACGTGTGCGTGCGTGCGTACTATTGCATTAGCACTACTCACTGAGGAGGTAGTACCAGAGTACTGGGCTGGGCTGAACTTTGGGTCTCCGCTTGGCTGAAGCTCCCATCTGGTTGGCTGACCTTTTAACAAACTGGAGGCCAGACCTGCATGGTACTGCAACTACACACATAGACACAAACAAATAATATACACAAACAAATAAATGCACTCAGTGGAACGTGTGTGTGTCAGTGTGTGACTGTGGACCAGATGCATCTGTGCGTCTAACATCAGATGTGGTGGAAACACTAATAACAAGTGAAGTAATCTTGATGCTGGAGTGGCAGCTGCCGGTCGCCGTGGCAACAGGACATCAATAAGACTGGCACATGTAAAGTCAGTACTTAGTTGATTACTAGTCAAACAGACTCAGCTGGTCAATCAACCAAAGATCACTTAACATCAAAGCGAAGGAGGCGAACCGCCGAATAAAGGTACTTTTTATGTTGCATTCAATTCACAATTTCTCTGAATGGCAATGCTCTCGCCCCGTCCCTGGCCAGTCAGAGACAGGGCCAGGGTGACATTGTTTAAACAGAACAGGCAGGAAACAACAGAGAAGATGAAGACAAAAACAGAAATGCAACAAAGAACATCATGTTCAAAAAAACTAAACTGGAACAACTATGAGTTTTAAATAAAACACTTTGAATGTCACAGAATGCATTAATCATTTTTTTGAAGATTGTCCTGTTTCAAAACAGAACATGATTAATATGTTGTGCTTTGGTTGTTTGATGATAAAAAACTCAATTACTTAGTAATTTTGGAAACATTGCATTTATAACATAAAATGCAAATGAGATATATTCCTCTGCGATACATCTATATACCATATACATGTATATATGTATGTATATTATGGCATGCCGTTCAGGAAATTGATCTTTGAATATAGATACAAAAAGTCTGAATATATATACAAAAAGTCTGAATATATATACAAAAATCCTGAATATATATACAAAAATATGAAGCGTATTTGACCACAGTGTCCGTACCGGTGCGCAGCTCAGCCTGCTACCACCGACCAGGCGGCACAGGAGATCCCCATAAAACAGCCCCTGCATATGTCATGGTTATATTTGTAACCCAAGTATTACGAAAGAAAACAGTGAATGCTGTGTAATAGAAAATGTAATAAATATGGTAAAGAGAATAAGAACAGATTACAATCATACAATCGTTAACGATGTAAGGTCACTGAATCACTGGGGGATTCAGAGTAACGTAATGAACATATGAAAATACAGGCTGGTGGTCTGCCTGCTTGGCATTGCTGCCTGACGCACCTCCGCCAGTGCCTTTGTGCTGGTGTGTTCATCTGAACATCTCCCTTGGCCCCACTAGTGCCTGAGT